ATAAAATGAAATGATTTTTACCAAAAATTGTTCAGGACAAAGAAGTTAAAGATGGTGAGGTAGGGTTCGAGCAAGAACAATAGCGAGATGCAAGGCAAGCGTGAACGGCCCAATCGTCAACAATGAACCATTCATCAAGATCTTGCTGTATAGATTGTGGTTCTCGTAATGAGAATGGCATGCATGGAGTCACTATACATGCAGGGATGGGACTGGGGTGGAAATTTACATCTCCCCCAAATTACACTAGGATTGCATAAGCGACTTTTTAGTCTTCTCGGACCTGAGTAAGGACAAACACTGCATTTTTAGGTATTACAGCAGGTGTGTGTCGTGTGCGATTCAATTGGTTCTATTCACAGAACATCGAAACTATCGTGTTATTTTACTCAAGCGAGTAATGCTATCAATAGAAACATCGTCGTGTAATGGTAAACAATCACAGCTTTAGAGTCCAAAATAGTCCGAAGAGACGTTTCGTGTATATACTGAATAATAAGTCCGAGACAATTCAAGTTCTGGAGCAGGAAACTGTTGAAAGAGGAAACATTATAATAATAAATTTCCAAGCAACTATATCTGTATAAGCAGGAAATGAATAGACTGACTGATGATAGAGACCATAGTAAAACACTCATGGCACATATTGCTTTCCTTGAAAGAGTAAACAAAAGGATTGTTTGCCATGGAAGGAGACAATGGCGAACTATCAACACCGCCAGATGAGCCGGAAGTTGAAGAACATTGAAGAACACGACATGGAGACAAGACGAACGCATGTCAGTGCGTTGACCGTTGAGACGAGACGACGGGACGCCTGTGCTAGTGTCACGTCAGAGAGAACTGCTAAACAAGAGCTCTAGCCAGGCCATAACCAGACACCTCTAGCAGCAACGTCAACAAACATGCACCGCAGACAGTGAGTGGTATAATACAGCGTGTGATTGGATCACGTCCCAGTCGCATGGTTGCTCATGATCAATGCACCGTGGTCCAGAATGATTGAATTGTATACGATGCATGTATAGTGGTCGATAATAAAAAGTACCGTAACGACTTTTACCAATAGTGAAAAAATTATCAGTACCTACGTTACATAATATTACACATAAATGGCTTCCCACTGTGCCAATTAAACAGGGCAAAATTATTGTGAAGTAACAGTTACGGCTCTTTCCCACGTCTGATTTATTCCAACGCAAAATTGACGGAATTGTTGAAAAACCATAATTATAAAATTGCACCAAGTAACAATGATGAACAATTTTGTTTAAAATAATATTCTTGGTTAGATAACTCGTTCACACCACTAGGTACAGGGGACGTTTTATTGTCGCTTAGCTTACCGGTGTCAGCAAATAGAAATAAATAAATTAATTAACTAAAATTAGGTTCGAAACAAGATTAGGTCTAAATTACAACAAGTAGCAAAATTCCAGATCAACAAGTGACAAAATTCTCGAGACGTGCTAAGATCTAGCGTATATTGACAAAAATTCGTAAGTATTCATTCAACCAAACAAAATTCACAGACACACAACACAATGGAGCGAAATGCGAATATACGGCGGATAAACTGTACAGTTCAACGCCCGCACAGCACGGGCGAATCGTAGGCAATGAAGGATATGGACTTTATAAGGCAACTCTTTATCGTTCGCTCAAGTTCGTTATCGGATAATCAACAGGCTGTAAATTGAGCGTAATCAAGCCAGCAACAACAACATACGCTACTAATGAAGCCTTGCTCAGAAGCGGCACTGTAATGAGCACTTTATATAGTCAACAAAGTTATCAACGGGCCTGTCACTGCATGGCTCGGCCTGTAAGCTGCTTTAGCACACCGACAGTGTCTGAGGTAGCTCCAAATCAGAATGATAGGTGAACTTGACTTGAATGATTGTGAGGCCCGAATTCAAAGTTCAGTAGTATTATTTGAGCAGTCTTTCTGCTTGATTTTAATCTAAAAAAATTTCAAAGAAAGATATTTCCTCTTTTAAGCTATCTAACATGAAAATACAATTATGCAACATCGAGAAAATATAATGATGTTGCTAAGTCATCATAAATAATACAGCTGTCAGCGTGTGACCAACTCGTGGAATGAGTCTTCATCATGAATTACTTGAATAAAATATTTTTGAAAATAATTAGCAACTAAAAATCGGCAAGGTACTTTGCTACAAGATATAACCTCAACATGAAGTATGTCTATGCCACGTTCTTGTTTTCAACCATAATATATAACGGTCACATCAAACCTTTCCTTCCATCTCCTGCGGCCAGAAAATCTCGTCGTTTGTTTCTCAGTTTCTTCTATCAATAGAAATCATTCATCGCTGGTCAGTTTTTAGTCAGAAGTAATTTGTAGTCAGTCCAAACAGTTTCAAATTAACCCAGACTCGTCTGTTATCGCGGTTGGCAAATGATTCGTCACTCGTCGCTGCCTCAGCCAGAACTCAGTGCCTTGAAGGAGTGATCATTTGCCCTGAGGTGCCCCGAGACAGTGATCAATGCCCGGAAGAGGAGTGATTTCCTCCGTTTCCGTAGCCTAGTTACAGCGATGCAGTGGGCGGCAGAATATGCAAAAGCCCTCAACGTTAGAGAGGAGCAGCGATAAACGGAGGCAGGTGGCTGATAGTGATGCATGCACAGTTGAAGTTGGATGCACAAGGATGCATCACAGCCATCATTACTCCTTTTCTTGATCCGTTGAGAGGAGACGAAGACATGCCTCCAATGAACATTCGGAACTGCAACACTGCAGCGTAATAATTTCTACTCTTTCTAATATGAGTTCTATTGCTTTGTTCATCAATAAATCTACATCTCGGAACGAATGTATCAAAATAGGTAGATCAGGATGGGTAACATTTACAAGTTTTCAAATTCCAGATCGATTTAACAGTGAAATGAAAATTCATTCCTATAACGCAACTAAATTTTTTTCTATCCGCAAATAATTTTTTCTAATGTCAAACAAATTTTTTCAACGAACCTGAGCTTGTCAGATGATTATCCTTCATCTAATCATCTAAAATTGAACTTATGATATATGTTGCCGTGTTCCAAACAGTTGTTACATACATTCATGCTAAATTTCAATACCATGAAAGTTGAAAATGCAATTAAAGTTGACGGGCGTATCATAGTTAGCCTGCAGAGCATTATATCGATTCCACACGGAAATTCGGTATATAGTATCGTGCGAGGGAACATCTTCTATCTGGGAAAGTGTACACTCAAATTATCATGCCTATAAGGGCACGATTTTCGATACAATACGCAATTTTCGATATAATACGCAATTGATTGCTAATAAAATGCAGACCTGTCACTAGGAATCACCAGGTCCAGCAGTTAAAGAGCGTGGGCAACGTATGGTACAGCGTAGCTTGTCTAAAAATAGATACTAGCAGCCGACTGAGACGCTAGGGATTCAAGGACTCGTGCCTCTATGGAATCGCGGCTCATGATTATTAATATTAAAGTTGTTTCGTTTCATCTATGGATTATATGAATGAAAATCAACCGCTTTATTTATACTTTTTGTGAAGTATAATAAATAATTTTTTTTGTGTTTTTCATTGATAAAAATTCTTTTTGGCAACTACTTACATATTACACGCTTTCCATAAGCTGGATTATGATTGCAAAACGCGTATTTAATGCACGTCTACAAGAAATTATGAAACAAAAACAAATCTCTGACAGAGTCATCACATTATTTATATTCCTAGAAAAAGTTCACGAGCAGTTCTAAAGACCAGCTAAGCGCAGTTTGGGTGATGCATTCAAAATGAAACAATTTAAATGCTGAACTCGCACATCCCGGATCAGAAGTGAATTTGCCTGACATTCACTGCTCTAACATTGACCAAGTGACCGCTATTAAATACAGCTTACCAAACATGCCTGCCTCGTAAACGCGATAGTTAACAAAGCGATTGTGAAGGTCACGGATGGCGCAGCGAATAAAATGAACAAACGTGTTTGTTGCACTCTTAAGACTTAAATACAGAAAATTTACTCAGCAGAGAAATCACGAGCCGCTGAGCTCAAATACTTGAGATTTTTTTGAGGACTGTAAATAAAAATTAGGTCACAATGTAGCAATTGCACAACGGTTTGTATCATAACGTAAGTCGCTGAACGACAAAATATCTTAAGCGAATAAAATTTGGCTTTTCCTACATCGCGATGATCATCGGTACACTCTAAATCACCATCATTCAGAATATCTAATATCCAGCGATAAAAATTTAATAAAAATCGAAAGGCATCATGCGTGTGAACGTACTCAAGGGTTTAACCATTAACCATCAATAACTAGCATACAGCCACCACGTTCAATTAGCGTTTGAAAAACTAGCGTGTTGAGGGAAGTCTCATGGGATGGTTGGCATCCTTCCTACACGCCGGTATTTATTAGGACTTCAAGCCTTATACAGTGTGGCTGGCTGCAAAAGTAAAGAGGATCAATGGGCTTGTCTTGATCTGCCCACGAACTGATGAGCCAAATAATGTTACAAGACACACCCAAGCATCAATAACGCTTTAAATCTGAGAATACTTCCAAGTCATGAGTAAACAAAGCGTTTGAGATTGAAAAGAGGATAGCCGACAATTTGGCGATCATGGTTAGAAGATTATCCCGTAAAAGGAATAGCACATTGTCCAAGCGTCCCTCCATGATATTGCTTCACCAAAACATGGCTGATAAAGGAAATGCATGGTAGAGAAGTAAGTAATTACGCCATTCAAGTTTGCGCCTGTTAGCGCACACACTTTGGTTGTCCGATAAACTCAACCCTACAGATTGTGTCCGTATTGCAAATATTTTTTTCGTGACGAGAATAAAATCACAGAAAAAAACAATTAAAAGCTAAGAAACAGCACATAACAATCGGCCTAATTACACACACAATTCTAAATAATATACAAGTCGCCTAACGTAAAATTTTTTGCTAATAACGGGTAACTTTCATTCTTTCACTCACCTCGAAGTAAACTTTTCCAAGATCCACCGAAATTTCTGAGTGGAGATTCACATAGCAGGTCTCGGTGCGTGCCAGGGCCAGCAGCAGTATGGCAGCAACTGAGACTGCCACTGCAGCTCACACCCATAGCTGATTCTTCATCCTTGTCGGGCAGTAGCCGACAGTGATCGGGTCGATTCAAAGGAAGCAACTCGACAGCTGATTGCAGGTCCGTGAACGACAGAGACCGAGGTGGAGGCAAGTGATTCAGTTTTTGAGCGGCTAACCGAGCGTCGGAGTTGCGTTTCTGAACTGAGAAAGAGCGTTGAAATGGGTTGCTGTCCGCTGAACCCAAAGCATCATTGGAGGAAGAATAGATATACTGAACTTGGTCGTGATGCTTGCCTCCGTCAACCAGGCCGCCTGATCCAACATCATCCGAGTCGTCAGTTCGTTCAGGTCTGAGCTGGTAAGGATTTAATTTATGATTAGTCTCTTTGCCGATAGCAAAATTCCCCTGCTTGCCCAGAGAGTTGAGGTTGTTGTCAGAGCTTACGCTGTTGCAATTCAATGATGCGCGAAGCTCAGCAACAAGTGCGGACGCCTCTTGTTCGGCAGTCCATAGTAGAGATTCGTCACTTCGAGCTCTGATGAGATCCAAATAGCTGCTGTTCGAATCAGAGTCTGCAAAGCTCAAGTACGTTGAAGGCAGATGAGTTGGCCGAGGCTGAGCACAGGCTTGCTGTTGAATGGGGAGTCGACCCCCACAACTGGATGCCGAGGCCGATGCATGGCCACAGTCCGTATGGCTCGGCCTTAAATGCCCTGGCGCCCGGAAAGTCGACGCGGGAGGTGTTTTCGAGGAGTACTGTGATCGATAAGACTGAGGAGGATGTTGCTGTCCGGCCTTAGGCTGCGATAAGGGCAAGTTGGTAGGTCGCTTTCGAGGAGGCTTGCCTATGCTCGAAAAGAACGTAGTCTTGGTGGGTTTGTTCGAAGCAGGCGGAGGCGGTGGGGGAGGATCGTTCGGAGCAGAATTTTTTCGGGACGACTGAGAACTCGAGTTCTTCGATGCGAAGAGTCTGGTAACCATCATGAAAGGTTAAGGCACCTAAGATATTGAAGTAACAGGTGATTTTTCAGCACTCGCTCAATGATTTTCGAAGACTATAAGCAACTATGATCACTCGCACCGCGAGCGTGTAAAATTTCAATCAAGTAATTTAAAGGGTTTCTGAGGCATACCGAATCGTGCATCCAAACCTAAGCAAATCAACGTAATATTACCTAAAGAAACATGATATAATGTAAAAAATAAGAAATTCAAATCTGAAACGAAAGGGAAAATTAGGAAGAAAATTAACAGACCGCCGGCATACTTAATAAGATTATCAACATATGGGAGACTTCGACTCTACGATGAACTCATATTCACTGCAACAATCAGTCCTGATTAGTTCTTTTTTGTTGAAATTGGATCTCAGCCAACGCATATAAAAAATACTCAAAAAAACGTTAACGCCTAATAAAACTCTTGTAAGATCGAATTGATTCAAATATTGACAATGGGGCAGTTAAAAATCATATGCCAAAATAAAAACCGTTGGCGAGGCATTTTATGCCTAAGGTATTAAATCAAATGTAGTAGACTATAATAAACCACTACCAGAGGAAGTTTCTTCATAGATTTTCAGTGCCATATTCATATTTATCCGGACATCACATCACCATTACAACCGTAGTACATCATTCACCATTACAACCATCGTACATCACATCACCATTACAACCATCGTACATCACAGCACCATTTGAAGCATCTTGCATCTCATCCCATATATAACCATCATACATCACACAAACGCGACGGCCTCTTGAGCAAAGGTGACAACATTACCAGCAACAACAGCCACGAGCGTGAGAAAGCATAACACTTCGACTTTCTGAAGTTCAGAAGATCATAGCAAAGCTGAACAAACGCACTCAATAGTCAACGAACTTGAATGTTCAGAATATCGATGCACAGAGTGCACCAAATAACGTCTTCGTCAAAATGTGAATAAGTCTTCGACGAAAACGACAACATTCATTTGTTTCTTCAATCATGCAGCTGCAAAGGATAATGCGTTAACAAATTCGCCGAAGAATCGAATATCCAAATCAAATGCCTACACCTGACAGACATGATTTCCAGCCATACAACTCAGCAACAACAGGGTTGGCTTGATCGCAAAGCGGAAGATCTATTCCCAGTATAGCTTTCACGTTGCCATTCATGGTCATGAACGTGACGAGCCGAAGCATCGGAAGGGCGTATAGGCTTGAATACATTCCGCTGGAATGTCGACTCAATTCCAAAGAGTATAACCATCAACAATCTTCGCAGCAGTAAATATGACTTTCAAATAACCAAGACACTAGGTGTTTACTGACTCAAAGAATATACAATATAAATAGTAATGCACAGGCAGTCGAGAAGTCCTTGCTGAAGTTTTGACAAGTCACTGCGACGCAGTTGGAGCGACACCTATCATGTGTGGCATTATCCATGTGAAAAGTAACGCCTACGGCTGGTCACTGAGTCAACAACGAGACGCGGAGTGCTAGATGCACCAAGGTAAGCATGAGCATTTTATGATGCTAAAAACAAACCATTCACATTGAGGTAACAATGCGAGCCAAAACACAAAGATAAATTAATAACAATTGAGAATATTTAGCCTGTAACTATTTGGCCGATGCGAGGCATCTCTGTAAAAGTCAGCCACAGATGATGCATCAGACGAAACTGCAACGACGGATTCTCGTCTGCGCACAATCACTGCGAGCTCGAGGTCAGAAAACATGGGTGACTGCAGGCTCTGTGAGAGATGAGAGCTCGTACAGAAAATTGCTCGGCCGATTGTGAAACGAAAACGACTCAGGCAGATGATATCCACCAGATGTTAGAGCAGTGAATGCGGGGAATTGCTGTGCTTCTTTGCTCAAGTGCTGATTAATGAGATCGTATTTAATAATAACTTCATTATTTTTTTGACACTCGCTCGTGAATTATGGCTTCTCAAGTTCAGTGAACATACTGAGGTAAGGACTTTAACACCGCACATCAGTAGCCACCATGTAAATTTCCATTATTCGTTGAATTTAGTTTTATATAACAAACTCAGTCACACATACAGCGGAACAAGTGGTCATTACTAATTTGATGTATGAGAAACTGAAAATTTGGAAGGAGATATAATGCAGTCAATAATGCATCACAGAATACGATACACGCAAGAGTAAAATTCTATAGGACCTTCAAAGTTAAAAATCGCGTCAAATATTTATTATTATAAACGTTTACGATATTATATACATTTAAATAAAAAGATACTCTTCGTATCATTAAGATTTCAAGAGTTAACCGAGCATAATTAGTCGCTGGAATGCTAATTAATCGATTTTTTACTACCTATATCAATTACACGAAAGTAATTGAATATTTTATGATTGCCCATAATAATAGAGCCAGTTGACGAGGCGAAAACCTACGACTGTAAAGTTTATGATAATGCATTATAGCACGTACGCCTAGCGAACATCTGCATTGGAAAGTGAAGAGCAATGCTTAAAGTATGAAGCTACAAATCAAGCCACATTATTTACTTGCAATAAACATGTCAGGAATAAGTGAAAAAAATCAATACTTAGCGATTTGAACAAGATTAAGCTCTAGTCAAAGTTTTGACAATCATGATCATGACCACGACAAAAAAGTTGAGTTATGAAAAAAGAATTTTAAAATTGTCAATTAAATGAAAATTGCAAATTTAGGCCGCAGGCTTATGATGGACCATATATAATAATTAGTCCCAGATTGGCAGTTGTGATGCTTCGTTAAATGTGAATTCGAGAGCTTGACGAGGTTCTCAACAGTCCATGACGAGGCGAGTCAGTCAATGCAATCGTGACGCTCATTAAAATATATTTAATTAGAACTTATGATACGCTGCCAGAATTGAAATTTAGGCTGTAAAACTGACGATTAACGCCTCCTCACAAAAAAAATTCAATACGTACCGAAAACAGAAATTGTTCAATTCAAGTCTTTGCAAAGACGCATCGATTTTTAAAATGGGTAAGCTTTCTATAAATGATAACGAATATAAATTTTGCAATTAGCATACAATTATTTCTATATGTTCGCAGGCACAAAAAAAAATTTAAACGCTCACAAAGAGAATGCGAACTCAAACATTGCACGGCAAAGCATGTACGGACAGCAAATAAGAAAGAGCCCGCCCAACGTACCGCATTTATATTTTCAACTAACTTTCTACGAAGTTTTAAAACCCGCCACATGAGCACACCTACTGGAAAAACTTGCTCCACGTGATGCAGAGCTAAAACATTGACTGCTAATTGCAAGCAGGACATCATAGAAGTAACGAACAGATGTGCGCTGGTGCCGTGACCTCTTCATACGAGGAGAGCTTCAGGCCTTGAACTACTGCAGCATACACGCAGTGACGCCCTCTCGACGCTGCTAAACGATCAGGGATGATTGACGAAACTTATAACTGCCTTCAGAATTTCTATATTACCTGGGGTTCTATGCCAGTTTTTCGTATAGAAGGGAACCCGATCAAGACACAGGCTAAGTTTTATCCTTTCATTCCTTTGTGATACAGCAGAAATAAATATTAGCAGCTTACAATTATATATGATTCGCGTATTGATATTTCTTCGCGCCGTAAGTTTAAAATATAAAATTGATAGACGGAATAGAATAAAGTAAAGCAATATATCAACGAGTAAATTGATCACAGGCGTACATGGCTCGATCACTGCAATCGCAGCAAAGAAATTTTATTATAAGCGTTCAGGGTCTCTTCAGTTTTGGCCCACTGAGATCCATGTGGAAACAATATCAGACAAAAGATAAGTTGTTCTTAGCAAGATTGAGTAGAAAGTTCCAAGCAAACACAATGGAACTCAAATCAGAAAAAAAGAGTAAAAACGGAGAGTAAAAAGAGTAACAGTATTCAAGTAAAGAAAGGTTGCAAATCACCAACCTAGAATTAGAGCATTGCGCAAAAATTTTCATCTATGCCTAACCTAACCTATGCCTAACAACCTAATTTGCACACGCTGATCGCGGGGTATAGCTCATCATTCTCATTGTGCTAACAATCATCTGATAATTTATCTAAAAATTGAGGTCTTATCCAATTTTCATACTTAAATGCTTAATTAAATATAAATTTTCACACCGTTTTAATAAACTAAAAAATTAATTAATTAAATTAAAATAAAATTAGCTACAAACAATTGAACTGTCGTTTGTTTTAAGACTGGATTAGTATGTGCAGACAGATCAGTACTGAATTGGCCACGGACCAATGAGTGTTATTGCACGTGGTGTTCATAATGAGATGCCAATGAGTGGTACGAGTAAAACAATGTAATTCACCAACTATTGTCGAATCAAACATTTTTTCAAACTTCATCGTGAGGAAATAGCAGTAAAATCAACCTTCGGCAAAAAAACGGCTAAAGAATCAGCCTCTCGACTTCAGAGTTTGGATGGGAATAAACAAAGCGTCGTCATCAAAACGTAATGGTGATGCCACGTCAGCAAGACAGAAGCCGCGTGAGAACGCATTGATGAAATAGTAACATGAATGAGAATCTGAAAGAAGCTACTTTGAAAAGCAATATCGATGCTGCACTGAAGTAAAATATCGTTTCATAATGAATGAAGGCAACATATTTCAGGAGCATTGTAGAATTTCTCCATTAAATAATAACGTTAGAACGAAATTTCAAATTTTCTCAGCATCCTTTGATGCTCAATCAATTGAGTGTAAAATAATACGAAGAATAATTAATGCACAATAAATACGGGTACGTTTTGATGCGCTACTTGCACCAATGACATATATAGTATATAACTAATTTTATGTATCAATACTTTATATATGTGGTTAAAAACTATTTTAGATGTTTTACTAGGAATTTCTGCAGTAACCCATTTAATTATACGAGCTTGGTCTGAAAAAAATTTAAAATTACGAGGACATTATTCTGTTAGAATTCAGTTAAAATTTAAATTTTTTCGATATTACAGGATTCGAGTATATAATAAGCTAACAAAAACTTTAAAAAATAATCGATATTCAAAAGGCGAAAGACGATCTTATCGCAGGTCGATCGTTACCGATCATCAACCATTCATATTATGCGGAAAAACGCGGCAAAGATGATCAACTCAGTCTATGGAGCTTGCGCCTCAGCTGAAAGGTTAACTATAGACCTGAGCTGATGGCGATAACAGATCTAGCCAGCAACG